CCTCAGAAGAGGTAGCCCCACAGCAGCTGCGACTGGACCTAACAATGAGTGGAGATGCCCTGGGAAGACAAAATATTGATGTTTTAATTCTGTTGTGGGCTCTGTAGATCAGTAACCCGGGCAAGACCCTATTCCCTCACATAGGCTGCCACCTCATAAGACCTCTCTTCCTGCCCACTTATGTCCTTTTCAGTCGTTTCTGTGAGGTGGTCAGAGTCTGGCACTAGCCCTTTACACATGGGGAGCCTGAGGTCAGCTGGGTCTCCTACGCCACACTTGTACTGAACATAAACATCAGTTGGCATTCTTTCTCCCATGCCATGTGATTAATAGTGCTCTGAGCTTCAAATCCTTGCCCAGAATGCCAGGAGGTGGGCCCAGGAGAACTGTGCCAAAGGCTAGCCTCCACAATGAGCTGTCCTGCAAGTTAATTCCCATGACAGTACAGACCAGCATGGAGGGACACTGGTGGACTGCAGAAGGGGGAACCAACCTCTTTGGATACAAAAGCCTCCTGCTGTGCACATGGACATCCATAGGTGTGGAAGTGGAATCCTAGGAGATTCGCTCGAGGAAGACATGCTTAAAATGTCTCTGGAGAATCCAGCCTCAAAAATGCCCTCCCTGGATTACCACCCTTGGCTATGTATAAAGAAGCCAACCCTAGCTTCTCCTCCCATTGCCCTGCTCTTCCTGTCGAGCCATGGGCCTTGCCTAAGAACAAGTCCAGAGTGGACATTGTACCTGACTCCTCATTCTATGGTCCCCATGCAGCACATGACAATATCAAGGCCAAGCCCTACCTCCACTGAGCATCAGGCCCAGCCCACATCCAGCTCATTCCCAAGCCTCAGGGTGGGTCAACTAGAAAAGAAGTGCGCGGGCACGGGCGTGTGTGTGTGTGTGTGTGTGTGTGTGTGTGTGTGTGTGTGTGTGTGTGTGTTCAATTGCTCGGACCTGGTAACCTGAGTTCCAACATGAAGCATCTTTGTGTCAGTATTCGGGAGTTGCCCCAACACACAAAAGCAAGAGGAGAGCCTGTGCTTGCTGGTCTAAGATCAAACCTCAGAATGGTGGTTTGAAGTTTTTCTTCAAAGCGGAGTTTAAAAGTGAAACTTCAAAAGACGAGAGAGTTAAAAGCAGTTATTGTGGAGGAAGTGAGAATGAGGAGAAGGCCAGTGACTCGGCCTGTCCCCCTCTTCCCCAATTTCCCCTGGCAGCAACCAGGGCTGTGTGGAACACCAAGGTCCACAGTACCTGGGCAGACAGTGGGTCCCAAGGACCTGTGCTTTGACTGTGACTTCCCTTTTGGGGGTGACAAGTTAGTAATGTGGAGGGGTGCTTCCCCTTCCACAGGCCTCCCTGTGAAGCCAGTGTGCATGGGGGTGGCACCAGTAGGCTGCTTCAGGCCAGGAGGGAGGGCAGAAGGTTTAGAGCTGCCTGGACCAGGCCCAAGACAAGCTGTGTGGGTAAAAACCAGAGGAGTCTCATTTGGTCCTTAAGTTTAAAAAGAGTAAATATCAGAACAGGCGCCCACCCGTTTCCTGGGAGCTCAAGCTTGGAATCTTGTCCCTTTCTGGTGGATGGGAGACACACACAGGCTTTAGCCATTGGTAGGAGAGAGAGCTGCCTCTGGGATATGGAAGCTACTGTGAGGGGATCAGCTAGGGCCCAGCTCTCAGAGCAAGAGGGCTGAACATCCCCAAAGGTCTCCAAGGAGCTGTGGTGCTTCTGTTGATCCTGGAGGGACCTTATACTTAGAAGAGGCAACATCTATTTCCTCTCACCCTTGGATTTCTTGGGTGGCATGATGGTGGATTCAGTTCTCTGACCTGTGGTCAGAGCCCAGGTCTCCTGACTTTTGTGGACTCTAGGAGGTGAGTGCAGGCCCAGGAGAGTCCAAGATGCTCCTCCCTGTCCCCCAATCACTGACAACATCTATGTCTTCTGTTTCTGGTTGCTGGGACCCATCCTTGGACAATAGTGCCTACAGTTCTCCCCCAGTGTGGTCACCAAGGCCACAATGGTGGAGTGTCATCGTGGCTGATATCTAACCAGGAAAAATCAGGACAAAAGACAGACTGGCAAACAGTGGGCTCATTCCACAGAAAGCTTCCTGTGTGACATCGGGCCTCATCCCTTCAGTGGCAGGGCCACCCCTGTTCAGCAGGTTGCAGCCTACAGAGTACTGACTCCTGGCTCTCCTCTCCGCCTCATAGCAATTCCACAAATAAAGCAGACAAAGGCTATATTGTTCCAGTTAGTATGAACTGAGAAGTGGCCTCGGGGACTTTCAGGACACGGTCCCTTTCACTGCACCAGGTGGGAATCAGTTTGTCAGCCACCCTCTGGCAGGAGCCATCTGGGCTCTAAAGCTGAAATAGCCATGGGGTCCAGCCAGGCAACTCAGCCCTTATCTTTCTGGGAACTGAATTCTTCTCTTGGCTGGGGCACTGAGCAAGTTCAATCACCCTCTATTCATGAGCTTTTACCAAAGCATGCTCTTCCTGCCCAGATTGGCATCAACATGTGCCCTTTGGTTTACTGGAAAGTCCCAGTGTGGGCTGTTTGGTGGCACAAGTCCCAGTCCCTAAGCACAGGAAAAGCCAATACCACTGGATAGTACCTGGAACCTCGGGAGGCTCCTCTGCCTCCAGTTTCACTCCCAAAATACTTCCTGGCCTGGGACACTCCAGGACAAAGAAGGGCCCTACAGAGAAATACTGGGTGATGTCATGTGATAGGAGTTGGGCATGGTGTCTGGAGCAGACTAGAGGCCTAGACAAGGGATCTAAACCAGCTACTGAAGAAGAGGCCAAAGAAACACATTAGCCTGTGTATCTCACCCAGTATGATAGCACACTATTGTGGAGTAGAGGCAAGTGACACCAAATTCCAGCCTCACACAGTGACATTTCCAGTGAGGGTTTGAATCCACCTGGAAGGGACACTGTGTCCAAACTCACATCAAGGCACTGTGTGGACTAGCTGCAGCCAGAGCTGTCAGTACTGTCTCCTAACTTTGCCCCTGCCAGGAGCTCTCTACAGACAGGAATTCTAGGGAGAAATCCACCTCTATGTCTACAGTACCCAGAATAAAGGAACAAAGCTGTCAGCCAAGGAAGGTTTGGCTGCAATCCAACTTGACCATTGCCCTTAGGTAGGCCCAGCTCAAAGCACAGGGAGCGCTGATGCTTCCCTTCAGCTGGAGAAATTTCAATTGATCTTTGGAATAAATCCAAAGGTTGAGTGGGGAGGCTGAGGTGCAGGAAGCTCAAGATGCCAGCCTGAAAGACCCTTTGCTTGTACAAGTTAAGGATGGGAGGAAGGTGTGCCAGGGAGGAGTTAGCCCAAATGCTAAAGGTCCTTGTATCAACCCACAGGCTTCAGTGGAAGCCTGTGGAGGGCACATGCTTGCCTTATACTGTTCAAGATTTTCATCAGTTCTGTAGGTGCAAAAGTGCCCAGCTAGCTCTAGCAGTGTCTGGATACCAGGGAGGCCTGCAGTTATGATCCCAGGGCAGGACAGGAAATAAGATTGCCCCAAACAGTCTGTTCTAATCTGGAAAGAGCTGCCTTGAATTGACTACTTTTAAGATTTAGAAGGTGCAGGGACAGTGGGCCTGAATCATTTCACCATGATAAATTATTGCAATCACTGGACAGGAGGGACTGAAAACGGCTGGGATCTGGTCAGTATAATTGGATCCCATCTGTATAATTCCAATCTGTGAAGCCAGTAATAGTGGGACATGCCTGCAATCCCAGCACTTGAGACAGGAGGATCAAGAATTCAAGATCATTCCCAGCTACATAGTGGGTCATGGCTAGCCTGGGCTACATGATATTCTATTTTAAAAACAAACAAAAGTTGTAGACCCCCTTCTCAGGCAAGTATGGAACTGATAAAAAGAGAACGGAAATCGAAATGAGATCCTCTTGCCCTGCTAATCAATAGAATTGATAAACCCAAGGTTGTCCATGCACTTTTCATGCAAGCCTCAGCAAATATAAGCTCTGGGACAGAGAAATTCACAAAGGCTATGACCACAACTTGACATCAACAAGCCAACTAGGGTTCAAGGGTGGCCCTTCCTAGTCAGGAAAGTGCCCTCAGTGCTCTGCCCAGCTCTGAGTCCCCTGAGGTGCCATGCATCTCCTCTGAAGGCAGATGGGGGCAGTTGGCAGACAAGAAGCTCAAAAAGCCACCAATTTACAGAAACTAGAACTGGAAACTCTGGGATCATCTGGTCTACCTCCTGGCTTTCCAAATAAAAACTGAGGCCTAAAGATGGAGAGGGAATTTGCCCAAGGCCACACAACAAGTTTGCATCAAAGCCCAAACAAAGATATCTTTGAGCACTGTTTTACCACCTGTCTGCCCTGTTACCCTGAAAAACACTCCAGTCAAGTCACACCAACACCAGCTAATGGATACTGAGTACCCATGACCCTGGATACTAATGGGATCAATTCCTCCAGGAGAGGGGGCACTTTCCTATTGGGGAATGCATCTTTATGGGTACTCCCTTAACAGTGGGAATGGTGGCCTCAGACACCCCTCTCTCTCCTAGCTTATAGGGACAAGTCACTGGAAAACTACTAGAAGAAGCTGGAAGATACTGGTGGCTTCAGCTGCCTATGGTCCTCCATCCTTTCTTCCTGCAGGACTATCCACTAAGGGAAAAAAGGAGAATGGATGCCCATCCCTGCCCTAGTCCTCCATCCTTTCTTCCTGCAAGACTATCCACTAAGGGAAAAAAGGAGAATGGATGCCCATCCCTGCCCTGCCCCATCACTTTACCCCCCTCAGAAAACTAGTAGCTCTGGCTCACTGCTAGGGGCTGGTGTTTTTCAAAGACTCTCTTCCTCTCTTTGTGCCTCCCCACACACAAAATGCAACAAAGCTAAGGCAACTCATCCTATCAGTACTGACAGACGTGTGGGTGGATCTGTAGCCTGCCCCAATCTAGGTGTCTGCTGGTTAGAAAGTCAGTCCATTGCTCTTCACTCCTGGGTTCTATGTGCCTCTCCCATGAAACACAAGGACATGGACCAAGGATGAGGGTGGAGGGGAAGGAGTCTCTGGTGGGCCTAGACCACAAGAAAAAAAAATCCATTGAGAATCTATTCACAGTCCTGCCTTCTCCAGCCTTCAATACAGTCATCTTTTAGCTGCCAAAACTGTATCACCTCCTGGGACTGCGGACATCTTCTTGTGTCTTGTGTCTTGTGTCTTGCTTGAGCCATCTTGCCCAACCTCTCCACATCTGCATACCCACCATCACTTCGGCCTTCTGGCCCCACCCCTCCCTTTCTGCTCCCCAACTCAAGTCAAATCCCAAGGCCAGGTAGTGTGTGTGGCCTTTCTGGGAATGAGCATAAAAAGGGGGGTGGGTAAGTGATTGCAGAGAGATGGCTGAGGAGGATGTGTGCTGTGGTCCTGCTGCCATGGTGATGTGAGGCCAGTTCTGCGGCCAGAGGCTTATCACCGAGACTTGGAAGACCACTGGGGCCCCTTGGTAGAAACTGGAAGAACAAAAGGGAGGGGGGAACCAGAATGGGAAGGAGACGAGAAAGATCCAAGTGCAAAGGTGAACCTGGAGCTGCCAGGGCGAGGGCTGGCCCCAGTCTATCTGTTGTTGAGGTGTGGAGAGCCGGTGCCATCATCCTCTTCATCTTTGTCATCCTTCATGCCTTTCAGCCTCTGGCGGGCAAAGTCCTCAAATACAATGTCGTCATCACTAGTGGAAGAGACAAGGAAAATGCCGTGTGTTTGCAGGGGCAGATAACAGGCAGATCCAAAGGCCTGGTCAGATGTGGGTAGAGGGGCTTGAGAGACAACCACACTCTTCGAGGTCTCTGGGATGACCTCAGGTGGAAAGGCATGCCAGGCTGGCCCATTTACAAACCCACTGGTGGCTGTGGGGATTGTCACACGCAAACTCCAAGAAGCTTGCCTCTCAACATATAAGGCCTAAAAAAGTGACCTACTTCCTCCTGAGGGGATGGAGAAGGTAAGTAAGGGTAGCATTGGACTCCCCAAAGAACAGGTCCAAGAAACCCCATTCACTCCTCAAAATCAAACCAACAAGACTGCTTTAGGGAGCACTGATGTTCCAACCAGGAAGTTGGTTCTGGGCTCTATGGACGAGAAAGCCTATACAGGCTCACATGCTATCCCCAAGGATCCTAAGTAGGGAGGGACTTTTTAGCAGAAGATAGAGCAAGGGGGAAAGATGCCTAATCAGGATTGCAGGATTAAAGACCATTTCTCTCCATCATGTCACTTAGGCCCAGGCAGAGACATATGAAGTCCCTTGCCCCATGGAGTTCAGCCAGCTGAATGGGCTTCCTCATGGGGCAACTTGAAACCCCCATTTCCCAGATCTCTCCAAAGAGTCAGGGAAAGGAGGTTTAGAGAGCAGGAGGGAGAAAGCAAGCCTGGCCCCAGAGGTGATTCAAGCCATTGAGCCAGGTCCTCTTCCTCTGGCCATTGTCTGGTGCCCCATGGCCTTCCACCGCAGGGGAATCCACATCAGTTGGTTCTCAGGTGGCAGAGGTAACAGCACCCAGACACCTTCTCCACCCTACAGGCAGCTTCCAACTGGCATGGGTCAGGTGAGAGAGGGGAGCCCAGGGTCTGAACCAGCCCCTTGCCAGACAGCTGAGTGGGCGCTGCGGATGGACGGACTGACTGACGAACGTGCAAAGACGAGAGAGGAAGACAGACCCCACCAATGCGGGAGGAAGAGGAACAGGCACGAAGGGTCCTTCAAGTCACATGCAGGCAAGCAGGTTGCTGAAGAGGTGATCAGAGGTGGCTCTCAGCAGACAGGTTAGACCAGCTGCTCCTCAGAGGTTAATAAGCATTTATGCAAGTGACCCCTCCACCTCTCCCGTCCCACCTCCAGCCCACCCATAGACATCACAGGCAGGGAGGTTCAGCTTACTTGGTGTCAAGCTCTATGAGATTGGTGTCTACTGGAGTCTCGCTCTCTGGAACTGAACATACACAAGACGTGTGAGGCACCCAGGGATTAGTGAGGGGGGGAGGAGAGGAATGGGACAAAGACCCTGCCCCTCGCTAGAATTCTCTAGCTAAGATGCCAAAGGCAAAGAAGGAAGGCAAGTAGGAAGTGTCTCAGGTCTTAGAACACCCCGAGTCTTCTCAAAAGCAGCAGATACAGGGAAGGAGGCATCCATGCCCACTGAAGACCCAGCAGGAGACAGGTCTCCAACATGAGACACATGAATTTCTTGCTTGCTAAGTTCCATTTACTCTAAGGAGACCATTTTTGCAGCCCTGACTGGCCTCAAACTTGTGATCCTCCTGCCTCACACACCTCCCTCTGCTGGGATTGTGGGCAAGTGCTATCATGCCTATTTTCCCACATTGTAACCTCTCTGTATGCAGAGTGCCATCTGTGGCATTTTGAAGTCTGTTTGTAGGCACAGACCTCGTTTGCTTTATGAACTTTAACACCCCTTTCAATGTAATGTGGCCAGTCCGCTACCAGTTTAAATAGTCAGCCAATATAGGGACTAAGAAATGGCTCAGCAGTTAAGAGCACTAGGTCTTCTGGTTGTGGGTTCAATTCCCAGCACCCACAGCTTGTCTAACAACCATCTATAACTCCAGTCCCAGGGGATCTGACACCCTCTTCTGGCCTCTGAGAGCACTGGATGCATGCAACACACAGGCACACATGCAGGCAAAATAAAAATAAAAATAATTTTAAATGAAAAAATAAAAGATAAAAATCTACCAATATGGCCTGCCCTCTATTCCTAGCCTTCCTCTCCCGTAGGGAACAGGAGTTGCTGCTCTCGGTCTCCTAGCTGGGTCAAAAGCAAATATACTGAGGGCCCTGCAAAGCCTGGGAGCTGGGGAAAGGATGATACTGAGCTGAAGGCTAACCCAGAAAGAAGTGGGGTGATGGGATAACAGGGAAACTGGTAAGCCCCACCCCAGTGACCCATAGGCCCCACTCACCTTCCCGATGTGGGGGCTCCTCTTTCGGCTTGGGGTGCATTAAGGTAAAAGGCAGCTCCACAGCCACATCACTGAAACACATACCCAACTCAGTGAGTTCGGAGGGAGCCTCAGGCTTTGAGACCTGCTGCCCCGTCAGTTTGAGGCCTGAGGAGTTAGCAGGAAAGCAACTACACTCCAGTCTTGCTACACTGACCACCACCTTTTATTCTGTCTTTATAAAGAGATAGAAGCCCCACCACCACCAGAATAAGAAAAAAAAAAAAAAACTTGCCATGTTCCTAAGGATGGTTTGATTACCATGACTGGGAATCACGCCGTCTAGGGACTCACACCATGGTCAATGGCCTGGGGTCCTGCCCACCTCAAATCACCATGGCTTCCTGGCTTCCTGATATTATCCTTCCCAATTTTCTCCCAATCCTACCTGCTCCATCTCCCAATGTTCCCATAAAGGTGTTCGAGTGACCCCAGGATCCTGCCACCTATAAGCTTCAGGAACTGAGGCTCAGTGCTGCTGCACTGTGTAAAGATTCTAACCCTCATATGTGTGCATGTGACAGGGAGAAGGACCACCACTCATTGTTGATGACCAGACCTTCCCTGACCTTGTCCCTGACAGACAGGTTGAGGACAAGAGCTGGCATTTGCATGGTACAAACTGTACCTAGGACTGTTGCAAGCCCATCCTTAGAGTCCAACTTCTGTGCTCCTTACAACAACCTTATTATTATGATGGCCTAGGCAAGGACCAGGAAGCTAAGGTACATGTAGATTAAGTCTTGCCTTAGGCTGCACAGCCACTAACTGGTAAGTGAAGAAAGAGTCTGGCTCCAGGGTTCACCTGCTTAACCACTGGATGATAGAGAGAATTAGGAGACTGATAAAAAGTAGCCCAAAGGCTCCTTTCTGCTAATGGTAGCATCATCCTAGGAGAGCCCCCTTTAGATTACAAATGCCTCCAGAAGACACAACCATACCTTACTGATCTGTTGCTAGAGCCAGCTGGGGATGGCTGGGGGTGGTGATGGGAGCTGGTAGAGGCCAGAGTCAATCAGCCCTCAGAGAAGCCATACAGGATATGGCCAGAAGGACCTGGGCACCAGCTTTGCCAGGCTGTGAGTAGTAAGGGCACCACTGGTTCCCTTCTGAGATCCTGGTACCCTGTAGAAGTCTGGCCACAAGCCTAGACTCAGAAACTCTTTGCTGGATGATACTGAACAAGATAGGATTATCTCTTGAGTCACTCAGATTTCATAGGGTGAGTGACACCATCATCGAGTGACAAGAGGTCACACTATCTGTGTGTATCTGGGGCACACACACACACACACACACACACACACACACACACACACACACACACACACACACACACGGTCACACTATCTGTGTGTATCTGGGGCACACACACACACACACACACACACACACACACACACACACACACACACACACACACACACGCTCCTAAGTTATTGTCTGGGTGCTGCAAGCACAACTGACTACAGTTAGCCATGAATTCTCAGTGGAGTAGAGGTTTGAAAGTCACTAAAGCTGCATATCTCTGAAGCATTCTAGATTTCAGGTTGGTGATTCTGCTGGTCTTCCTAGGGGTCATTGCCTGATCACTGTTGTCTACAAAGGTCCTGTCACTTGAGTGGGAAGGAATGACAGCCGAGGTGTTCTGCTAGGAGCCATGTCACCCCACTGTCCCAGTACAGTTCCAGTTACAGCACCTCCCCAGCCCACAATCTGAGATAAACCCTAGATTCTTCCCTCCCAGCACCCTGTGGTTCTGATCAGCTGGGTCTGTGACCCTGGGACCTGCAGGAAGGTGGACAAAGCAGGACACAGGAGGGACTTTACCTGGATGCAAGATCTCCCAACAGGCTGAGTGGGCCAGAGGAGGCAGAAGAAGCGGTCGGGACAGAGTGCAGAGGGGGAGAAAAGAAAAAGGACATTCATTCACTCCTCTGCCACCCTGCCACAAAAGACCCAAAGGACATACTCCCACCCCTGTGCAGCTGGCAGCTCATCCAGAACACTGAGGGGCGGGTTAGCTTGCAGAGCCCCTGGACCCCAGAACATCTGTAACTTGCAGGCTATCTAATGGCAGAAGAAAGACTTTGGGGTCACTAGGATATGGGAAGACTGTGGGTCATGCAAGGTCACAGAACACAGGATTGGCCACTGGATTTAGAAAGGTTCTGTAATATGTAGTCAGCATTAATACTGCCAGACAGAGACAATATTCTTTGTTCTATTCAGACAGGGTATGATATAGTCCAGGCTGACCTCAAACTAGTTATGCCACCAAGAATGACCTTGAACTTCTGATCTCTTGCTTCTCCCTCCCAAATGCTACAACTACAACTACAATGCTGCATCATTCTTGGGTCAGGCAATACCCTAATAAATGCTATTTAGTTCTTTGGGAAAACTATTTAGGCCTCATTTTCCCCATCTACAACATGGGAAAGTCAGCCAAGTTAGCAACCCCCCAATTGAGCTTTGGGTTTCTCAGTCTCTGACAGTGGTGTGTGGGCACTGTGCCCTGAGAGGTGAGAGAGAGCATGGTAGCCCCTGAGAGTCACAGTACACAGTCTGAGGACACCTGGACTCACATAGGCTGTGCCCAATCCTCACAGCCAGACCCAGGCCTTGGCTAAAGAGAAAGAGAAAGGGAGAGAGATGGAGGTGGGGAGGAGCCTCAGCCAGTGGAGAAGGAAGAGGAACCAGGGGAAAGAAGAGAAGAGGAAGTCTCAGCTCCTCCACAGGAAGATGCAACTGAAAGGCCAGACAAACAGGCAGGATGGGTAGGGGTGCTGGGGCATCTGGACTCACCCTCCCCGAGACACCACCAGCTTCACTTTCACTTTGTAGGAAACGATGATCCCCAGAATCTCACGATTGGCACCTTCCCTCAGCCTGCATGGAAACAGGGAAGCTGGTCTGTGTGGATCCTTGGTGGGTGGAATGTGGTAGGCAGTGGAGTGTGATGAGAGGCACCACTCTCCTTCCCTCTCCTGAGCCACTAGGTCCAACACAGCTGGGAGAGTGAGCTGGCCCAATGGACTGGAACTTGTAGCCTTGGGTTCTGTATATGTCACTTTTTGTGGTACTACAGATTAAATTCAGAGCCTCATGAGTGATGGATGGGCACTACTCTACCACCGAGCCATGGCCCTAGTCCCTTCAGTTCCACATTTGGCTATGAGATATCCTTACTCTACAGACTAAGTAGGTCCTCCTCCCTGCCTAGCTACTGCCACACAGTGCAGTGAGAGCAGACTCTAACGGCTCTCCTACCATTCACTTCTCTCACACAGTTTTATGCTCAGTAACCCATAAGCAGAAAGGGCTACATTGAGAGCTGAGAAGCCAGGGTAGCTGGGAGTCATGGTGGCACCGGAAGTATGTCTTCAGGGGGTGATGCCTCATAGGGAAAGTTGAGGGCAGGTTGAATATGAGCCAGGGTAGAAAAGGGGCAAAGAGCATGTTGGTAAATGAGGAGCCTGTGAGGAGTGATAACAATGTGCTGGTCTAGCTTGAGCCAAGAGTCTTGAGCTGGGAATGATGGTCTCAGATGCAACAGACAGAGACCAAACCCCTGGAAGAGAGCCAGATATCAACAGCGGGGATGAGTCCCCCACTGTCTGGACTCTTCTAGAGTGGGACAACCCTGAAGCTTCAGTGATGCCCATGGAACAAGAGTGACCAGATGGCCTTACAATATCCCCCCAAATCTATCTCCCCAGCTCACCACCTCTTCCCCAGGCTCTCCAAGCCCCCATTTATCTCCTTCCAGGAACCTTCTAGAAGCCATTGTCTCCCTTTCAGCCTCAACAGCACTGGGATACTCCCAATCTGTGTTCAGGACTCTAGGCTAAGAGTTGCCAATGATTGCAGGAAGCTTTTCCAGTTGTGCCCCACCCCTAGAGCCAAATAATGGGGCCAAGTAGTCTTTGAGTGGGCAGGTGAAATAGGGAGACAACCTCCCTGGCTAGTCACAGTCTGGGGACCTCATCCTCAGAGCGGTGGGTCAAGAGGGTGGGGCTCCATCTCAGGGTGGGCACTAGGAGCATGGGACTTGGAGGGGGTGGTTCTCACAGAGTGCTGGAAGCCAGATTTGTGTCTTCATGCTTGAGTTTCCCATCCAGGGCAAGGCCCCGCTTTTCTCGGTTGTTGGCCAGAAAGGGAGTCAGTGTGTAGACCTTGCAGAACGTTGAGCTGGGTGCCACAGTGTCACTGGGAATAGAGAGGTGTCATGAAGATGGCCCTTATCACAGCCAGCCCTAACCCAGTCAAGATGCCTGGCCTGGCCCTATTCCAAAACTCCTTTTGCCAGCAAGCCCAGATGTAGGGGACCACTTGGGCCAGGCCCAGCTCTGGCAAGAAGCCCACTGCCACTCGAAAGGCACAGACACACCACACACAGGCAGGACTGCCCCTGGGCTAGGGATGGCCATGACGTACATTTATTTTTATTATTTACTTAATGATTAAATTTTATTTCTGTGTATGTGTGTGTACCTCCATGAGTGTATGTGCATCAACACTCTTGCAAGTGCCCTCAGGGGCCAGAAGAGGGCGCCATATCTCGTGGAACTGGAGTTACAAGCAGTTGTGAGCTGCCTGCTGTGGATGCTGGAAAATGAACCCCAGTCCTTTGGAAGTACAGCAAGTGCTCTTAGCTTCTAAGCCATCTCATTGACTTTTAAAAGTGTCACTACATACAAACCATGAGTAAAGCTATTGAACGTCTGGAAGTCCCCACCTAGGTTCTACCATTGAAATTTCACTTGCTACAATGCATATCGATCAATCGTGTGCAGATACTTTAGTTGTTTATTTTTTGCCTGATGTAGTTCCATTAGTTCCATCTCCCCTCTCCCTTTTCAAGGAAGAAACAGGTACATGAAACTGATACTGGGGTAGCCCTGAAATAATTCCCAGATTTGCCTCTTTGAGGGGAGACAGCCACATCTCAAACCCAACCCCACAAGAAACCACGCTCATTGGAAGGCCAGGCATATGCGGCCTTTCTCCGGGTTACATATGCAAGTATGTCACAGAATGTGACATTATTCCACTTGGGACTGAATGTCATTCTAACTCTGGGTCATTTCACTGTACCCTAAATACTCATCAGAAATCTATGCCTTAGCCAGGTGTTGGTGGCACACACCTTTAATCCCAGCACTCGGGAGGCAGAGGCAGGGGGATCTCTGTGAGTTCAAGGCCAGCCTGATCTACAGAGCAAGTTCCAGGACAGCCTCCAAAGCAATACCGAGAAACCCTGTCTCAAAAAACCAAACAAATGGGGGCAGGTAGGGGAGGACGGGTGGGAGAAGGGAAATGGGATTGTCATGTAAAACAATCCTGTTTCTAATTCAAATAAAAAAAAGTTGTAAAAGAAACAAAGAAAATAAAAGAAAATAAGAAATCTATGCCCTGTGGCTTTGGGTTTTGTTTTTGGATCATTAATGGATATAAGAATATCAAATAATGCAGGAACATTTGGCTTAATAATAACATATTCATCTATAGAATATTAGAAACTATGTCAAAGGTTGCTCACACCTATAATTTCAGCACTTGGAGAGCTGAAGAAGAAAGACTGCCATGAATTCCAGGCAAGCCTGGGCTACATAGTGAGTTTCAGGCTAGCCTGGACTCAGAGAGAGACCTAGACTCAAAACCAAAACGGGGCCAGTGAGGTCACTTAGCACGTAAAGGCACATCTCACCTGAATTCTAACTAGAACATACATTATAGGAGAGAACTGACTCATGCAAGTTGTTCTCTGACTTCCACATGTGTGCACAACCCACAACAAAAAAATAGATTCCGGGGAAAAATAAGTTTTAAAGAAGACTCTTCCACACCATTTACTGTGAATATCAAAGAAGGTAGAGGCTCAGCCCTATGCAAGTTGAGAAGACATGCCTGGGCCTAAGCTTCCTATTCTCCCATCTAGTCCCACTTATCCAAAGTTGGCCTCAAACACACTTACTCGGCCTCCTCCATGGCCACTGGGCACTTGTACTGAGCTGTGTTGAAGAGACAGATGTCTGCATACTGGCGTACTGGAGAGAAAGAGGTGGAGAAGCAGGCACATGAGTCAAGGGGCAGCTCCCAGGATGCACCTTAAGCCTCCTAGGGTAGGAGTGCTTAGATTGAGACAATGGCCAGAGTTTACGAGAGGCTACCACCCCAGCTCTCACCCAAAGAGAAGTCCCCACCAAAGCCCAGTCCCTTCCATGACCAAGTCTTTCCTCCCAGAACAGCTTGGCTGGGACCCAGAAAGCCTGTGAAAAGAAGTAGCTAAAGCTGTATCCCCATTGCTTGTGACATCCGCTTCAAAGCCACCATTGGCTGAGAGCAGACCTGTTTCCAAAACTACTAGAGGTGCTTCACAGGCTTTTAACAAAGGGCATGCCTACAGCCACCCCGACCCTTGGGAGAATTCCCCAGCTACCCGAGATTTTGATCTTCTTCACAGTCTTGTTAGTGTTGTTGGTGACATGGACATTGACGCTGATGGGTTCTCCATGGTAATAGATCTGTGAGGCAAAAGACAGACAAGTGTGGGCAGGCATTCTAACCTCTTCTCCCAAGTTCATCAGCCACTTTCCACAGGAATAAAAGTGTCACACAAACTACCAAGCATATTGACCTTCAGTTCCATTGTGGGACCTTTCAAAGATGTCTGTATTAGAAGATAGCATTCCAGGACTGGGGGACAGCTTTGTCCGCAAAGTACTTGTATTGCAAACACAAGGACCTGAGTTCAATCTCCATACCCATGTAAAAATTCTAGGTGTGGGTCCTGCAGACCCAAAACTGCAGGATCTCCACAACACAGGGCAACAACTGATTATCCAAGAGGAGTCCCAATGAGAGCTCAGCATCGATAGTGTAGCAGAAACCAGAGGCCTCGAACCAGACTAATGACTCTCTGCAATGAACACTTGAAGTAAAGATGCGTGGACAAAGGGGTTTACTGCGTGACTCACTGTGTCACACTGTAACTTCCATGACAAGATTGATTTTTTCCTTCTTTCTTTTTTTTTTTCTTTTTTCTCTTAAATTTTATTTTATTAGGGGGGTGTTGCAAGGACAAAGGGTAGATACAAAGGGACAGGGAAATGAATGGGATGGAGATGCATGATGTGAAAGACACAAAGAAAAAATGAAAAGGAGGGGAAAAAGAAAATAGGAAAAAATGCTGGGTGTAGTGGCCCTTCCTTGTAGGTGCTTGTAAGTACTAGAGAGTCAGAGACAAGAGGATCCCTGAGGTTCGATGGCCAACCAGTCTAGCCTAGCTGATAAGCTCCAGGACAAAGACTCAAAAGGAAGTAGATTGTGTCCCTGAGAATGACACTCCCAAAATTGTCATCCAGCACACACATGCACCCATGAACACATGCGTGCACCCATGCATACCCACATACACACACCAAAACAAAATGGAAGCTGGCATCCCTGGCTCCAGTCCTGGTCTCACCTCTAGCTAAGACAACAACAATAACAGTAACCATAGGATGATGACTGCATGACCATGGACATACTGCCTAAGTCTCAGTTTCTCCTTTATTCAGTGTGAGGGGCTGGATGGAGCAATGTCTCAAATCCCTGTGGGCTCTGGTGGTTTAGGTTTGCAGACCCAGAAAGCTCGGGAAGATTCAGAGGAAGGGAAGAAGGGCTAACCAACTCACTGAAGAATCTGCTCCAAATTCTCAGAGAAGGGCTTCCACCATATCTTATCCAGGTCCTTGCCTTTAGCTCCTCCAAGGTCACACCTACACCCCAGTCAGCTGGCTTAGAATCCCCTGACTTCTTAAGAGTTTGTTGCCTTCTAGCTCATGGATGAGAGAGGGTAATGGATCCTGCTCTTCACCTCCCCCCCCCACTGATATGGCTGGGCTTCTCCACCTGGCCTGAAGCAGGCAATTATCCTTCCAGAAGGTATATTGCTCCTGTCTGGTAGGTGCACATACCTACCCCTGTCAGTCGTTTAGACCCCAACATGATTCTCAAAACCCTCAAGGAAGGTCAGAAGACAGTGGAGCCTGAGGGGTATCAGAACTGGGGACAACGGGTCTGAGCCTCTTACCTCCTTATCCAGAGATGCCTCAAGGTGCAAGGGCTTGTCCGACATAAGGAACTGTCTGGTAGTCTCGGCCGTGGGCTGAGGGCCAGGCCTCTCTGGGGCATACTGAACCTTCCGGATGACTAGCCGCACAGAATTCCTAAGGGAGATGTGTGGGGAGAAAGACAGACAATCACCAGCCTCCACACCCTCTTCTCTGCGGTACCTACATCTCTCTCCTGCTCAACAGGCTACTGTAGCTCCTCATTGCCTGCCAGCTACAGAGGTTAGACTGGAGGGCTTGTCACCATGTGACTCTGCTCCAGCCTCCTCCATTCTCTCCCGGGGCCACCCTACAGCATCAGTTCATTTGGGTCCATGTCCCAGGACCCAGCACAATGGTAAGGAAAGCACAGATTTTTTTGCTTCTCACCCCCTATGTATCCTGATAGTGTAAGCCGCTTGAGGATGGAAACTTCTTGTCTGGCTTGTTCACGACCACAGTCTCAGCACATGTGGCTGTACTGCCACTTGGTGGCTTATCTGTTAAATACCCGCTAAGTGGAGATAAACAGAATGGACAGCCCCCCATAGGAGTTGGGGGCTTTCATTACAGGAATTGGATTCAACCACAGAGGTGCAGGACAGTGAAGAGGTGACTCGGTGAGGTCCACAGATAAGAAGGGTCCAGAGGAGGTCTCGGGGCTTTGGGTAAAAGCAAGAATGGACTGAACTGTTGAGGGACTCAGTTGCACACTATTTCAGTGGCACATGGGGAATGCCAGCACCCTTATTTCTCCAACAAGCCACCTTCATTCCCTGGAACCCAGGAGTCTTGGTGGCATACCTAGCTCTTCTCTTAGTATCCACATGGCCTGAGGAAATTACCTCCCTGTGTCTCAGTTTCTTCATCTGTAAAACCCCTCGGGGCCACTGGCAGGCTTAAAGCAGTCCACATCTGTCCATCACTCTGAACATGGCCAGAAACAACTAAGGACTTGAGAACTGACAGCTACTGTATCATTATTACTAGTCAAGGACAAAGGGTAGATACAAAGGGACAGGGAAATGAATGGGATGGAGATGCATGATGTGAAAGACACAAAGAATAAACATAAAAAACTTGAAAAATATACTCAGTTGTTTTAATGTGAAACTACTAAGTCTGGCCAAAAAGTATTTTATTCTACTAAAAGTGAGGAAAATGTGTTCCTCTCAAATGAAGAAAGAATGTGGAAAAGAGAAGCTCCAGGACAAAGACAGACTCTGCCTCAAAAGGAAGTAGATTGTGTCCCTGAGAATGACACTCCCAAAATTGTCATCCAGCACACACATGCACCCATGAACACATGCGTGCACCCATGCATACCCACATACACACACCAAAACAAAATGGAAGCTGGCATCCCTGGCTCCAGTCCTGGTCTCACCTCTAGCTAAGACAACAACAATAACAGTAACCATAGGATGATGACTGCATGACCATGGACATACTGCCTAAGTCTCAGTTTCTCCTTTATTCAGTGTGAGGGGCTGGATGGAGCAATGTCTCAAATCCCTGTGGGCTCTGGTGGTTTAGGTTTGCAGACCCAGAAAGCTCGGGAAGATTCAGAGGAAGGGAAGAAGGGCTAACCAACTCACTGAAGAATCTGCTCCAAATTCTCAGAGAAGGGCTTCCACCATATCTTATCCAGGTCCTTGCCTTTAGCTCCTCCAAGGTCACACCTACACCCCAGTCAGCTGGCTTAGAATCCCCTGACTTCTTAAGAGTTTGTTGCCTTCTAGCTCATGGATGAGAGAGGGTAATGGATCCTGCTCTTCACCTCCCCCCCCCACTGATATGGCTGGGCTTCTCCACCTGGCCTGAAGCAGGCAATTATCCTTCCAGAAGGTATATTGCTCCTGTCTGGTAGGTGCACATACCTACCCCTGTCAGTCGTTTAGACCCCAACATGATTCTCAAAACCCTCAAGGAAGGTCAGAAGACAGTGGAGCCTGAGGGGTATCAGAACTGGGGACAACGGGTCTGAGCCTCTTACCTCCTTATCCAGAGATGCCTCAAGGTGCAAGGGCTTGTCCGACATAAGGAACTGTCTGGTAGTCTCGGCCGTGGGCTGAGGGCCAGGCCTCTCTGGGGCATACTGAACCTTCCGGATGACTAGCCGCACAGAATTCCTAAGGGAGATGTGTGGGGAGAAAGACAGACAATCACCAGCCTCCACACCCTCTTCTCTGCGGTACCTACATCTCTCTCCTGCTCAACAGGCTACTGTAGCTCCTCATTGCCTGCCAGCTACAGAGGTTAGACTGGAGGGCTTGTCACCATGTGACTCTGCTCCAGCCTCCTCCATTCTCTCCCGGGGCCACCCTACAGCATCAGTTCATTTGGGTCCATGTCCCAGGACCCAGCACAATGGTAAGGAAAGCACAGATTTTTTTGCTTCTCACCCCCTATGTATCCTGATAGTGTAAGCCGCTTGAGGATGGAAACTTCTTGTCTGGCTTATTCACGACCACAGTCTCAGCACATGTGGCTGTACTGCCACTTGGTGGCTTATCTGTTAAATACCCGCTAAGTGGAGATAAACAGAATGGACAGCCCCCCATAGGAGTTGGGGGCTTTCATTACAGGAATTGGATTCAACCACAGAGGTGCAGGACAGTGAAGAGGTGACTCGGTGAGGTCCACAGATAAGAAGGGTCCAGAGGAGGTCTCGGGGCTTTGGGTAAAAGCAAGAATGGACTGAACTGTTGAGGGACTCAGTTGCACACTATTTCAGTGGCACATGGGGAATGCCAGCACCCTTATTTCTCCAACAAGCCACCTTCATTCCCTGGAACCCAGGAGTCTTGGTGGCATACCTAGCTCTTCTCTTAGTATCCACATGGCCTGAGGAAATTACCTCCCTGTGTCTCAGTTTCTTCATCTGTAAAACCCCTCGGGGCCACTGGCAGGCTTAAAGCAGTCCACATCTGTCCATCACTCTGAACATGGCCAGAAACAACTAAGGACTTGAGAACTGACAGCTACTGTATCATTATTACTAGTGAGTCTTGGGAATAGACTTAAGATGTCCCATTGGGTGAGGGTGAAGGTGGTGACTCTCAGTGTTGCCTGCTGGTCATTGATCTGCTCAAGACCCCTCACAATGCTGTTAGGTCCCCTTCATCTCAGGTCTTAAGGGACAGAGAAGCAAGAGAGAGGAGTCTAATCGCCCCTCTGCTCCACCCACCAATGCAGGAGCTACCAAACTGCAGCTTGAAATGCTTGTGATACACCTAGTCGCCACCAGGTGGCAAACTCATCCCTAAAGAGAATGGTGGGCATCCCTCAGCTGGCCTCCAGGTCCAGGTCCAGGACTCAGGATTCAGGGGCGTCAGAGTTGTGGTCAAGGCCCGGAGGCAGGAGGTCCTGAACCCCAGGGAGGGCATCCATGAGATGTCAGGGCCAGCTGCTTTCCTCTCTCTCTCTGCTGAGCCCTGAAGAAGAATGCCCTTTCTCTGAACCACACTAAGACTGTTCTAGGTTCACTTTCTCCACTTCCCTCCCTTGTTCGGATCCCTCCACAACACACAGGCTCCACTCCTGCTGATGGCCTCTCAGTGGGCAAGCAGGGGAATAGGAATAGCCTGGAAACATTCTATGCACTGTTGAAAGTTAATCTTTTAACATCAAAAACTGCCGTCTGCAGAAGTAAGATAGAGGTAGGGATGCAAGAGAGGACTGGCTCGGGCCACCTCCTCCAGGAAGCTCACCATGACCTGACAGCCTTCCAGACCCTTCCCACAGTGCAGCTCATTGCTTCTCTTTGGACTTCCCCCTCCTGTCCTTCCCCCCTTCTCCCACCAGCATCCTGCGCACCTTTTGTGGATCTTCTCCTCCAGGTTCTCGGCACAGAAGGCTTTGACTTCGTAGTCCACACCACAGGCCTGTGGAGGAGGCCATGCTGACCCCATGGCATTGGGGAGACAAGGTCCCTAGCCACCCTCCCATCTTACAAGCCAGAATGCTGGGTGAGAACATAAACTTCTGCCACTTGAGGGCTGCTTGATATGGATCTGAAACCCTGGCACCAATGCTGATCTTGTCCCAAGGCTGCCCCTGACCCAGGACCTTCTGCTGGAGCTGCTCCTGTGAGCCCACCAGCCAACCCCAATCACCCTTGGGATCCCGGCTTCAGTCTAAGTGGCTATCCTCCTCATGACAGCCATCAGCAACATGAAGACCCTATGCCGGGTATCACGGTGTCTTCATCATTCCTTACAATATGGGGAACATGTCCACTGTCTTTGCTCTGAAAATGAGAGTGTGAGCTCCAAAGTCTGGGGCCTGGGATGCTGCTGGTGTCACTTCTCCCTAAGCTTCAGTTACCCTAGCTATGTACAGCAGCCATCCCATCTCCAAACAAGGCAGCTAGGGACTACATGAAGCCACATGGAGGTCTTCAGAATCTGTTGTCCCTGTGCAATCAATACCAAAGCCAGCAAGAGTGACTCAAGGGAGCCTGTGACACATCACAGAATGTGGGGACAAGGCCAGCAAGCATCTGCAGCCTTATCTCAAGGGACTGATTGTCCAAGGAATATCAGCCAGGCCTAGGTCCAGGCAACTTCAACAGGAAGGGAGGTCCCAGATACCCACTACTTCATGGGGAGAAAACCAGGACCCTGGGGACATAAGAGCCTGGGACCAGAAAGATGGTCTTCTTGGAATGACCTACCTTCCCTGTGTCCTCAGGCCCTGGCTGCAATGTCACTGAGCATGGAAGGTTTGGAGGGATCTGTTCAGGAGACAAATAAAATGAGTTAACCTTTCACCTCTACCTTGTCTTTCCCTACACACCTCACTCCTAAACACCCGTCAGACCAAGGAGGACAGACCATCTCTCCTCCATCACACCAGATCTTCTGAAAGCAAGACTAGGAGCCCCTGATATAGACTGTTTCTCTCCTGGTCACACCACATCACACCATGCTGCACACAGGGTCAGTGGCAGACTGGGGGAGATAAGAATTTGAGTGTTCTTCACCCAAGATCTCAGCTCAGCCCCAACCCAGAATCATGGAGTCTTGGAAACATGAAGATGTGAACTCCAGAAGCGTGGAGTCTTGGAATGGCAAGGAGGCATGACAGAGGATGAGCTTGGCATGTGGGCAGCCTGTCTGAGGGGAGATAGACAGAATTCCTCCCTTCACTGCAACCATTCCCGGGCCTTCCTTTCTCTAGTATCTTAAATTCAGAAGGGCCAGAAGGGCAGCCTAGAGTTTAAGGTGGCATGTCCACAGTGGCCAGAGATAAGACACATAGCAGGTAATGTAAGTGACAGTACCCAGGTCCCCAGTTGGGTAAGACAATGCAGCTGCCCTCCTGGCTTCCCCGTGTGCCTGCCCTGAGCACATCCCAGAGGTGAGGCTTCCAGAATGCAGGTGGAGAAGGAGAGCTGACCTCAAAGGTGAAGGGGTAGGCATGCTCGCCCAGCTTCTTGATGAGCCGCTCCTGTAGCCGAGTCAGTGGCTTCTTGTCCTCAGGGGCCGGTGGGAAGGACTGCACGTTGGCCACAAACAGGTCTTTACGAAAAGTCAGACCCAAGACATCCAGGTCTTCCCGGCCATACCGGAAGGCACAGGTCAGCGTCACGTAGACTGTGAGAAGCAGGTGCACTAAGAAAGGGCCTGGGAGGGCAGCACACAACTCCCTCCCCAGAGTTCCAGCTGCAGCCCTAAGGTTTGGCCTACTGGAAGTTACATGCCTGTCCCAGGTTCAAGTGGGGTGGGTACACTGGCTCTCTGACACAAGGTGCCTTTAAGGGCAGCCTTGATACAACTCTTAGGAAGAGGCCCCCTTCTGGGAAGTTCTGCCCTCCCAAGCTCAGGTGTATGTAGGGGCAGAAGGACAGTCAGGCAGCCTGGTGGCTGTGGTGGTTGGATTAGGCTGGCAGACTTAGGAGAGGGGCAGGGAGACAGCCTAGAAGAGAAG